GAAAATTGCTGTACACATTTGGGGTAAAGCCAATACACGACTCCAAAAGAAATATACATATATATATATATATAAATCATAAAAATATATAAGAATATAACACTATATTTAATGCAAAAAACGTACATGTGTGCATATCTTTGAAGCATAAAAGTCATAATAGGTTGAGGTAAATAAATGCTGTCCCCCTAAAGGATACTTCATTTTGAGTATACTGTACCTGTACTTCAGAAACAAATAATTGACTTACTAACACATGTATACTTAATCATGGAAGTATATTTAATAAATTATATACTCTGCATTTTTAAGAGCATAAAATGTGCACACAAACTAACACTAAATGTCTCCCTCACCTCCTAATCTTTAATTAATGCTCTTTAATTAATGCCACGGCAGTGTCCAATCACCAAAATGGGGATAGAGTGAACAACAACAGAGTTCTCTAATATCATCAACTGTCAATTAAGCATAGGTCGATAATCAAAATGCCACTATTTATAACTCAACTCATCCATCTTACTAAAAACGAATCTTATGCAGAGAGGCTACAGTTAAGTCTGGTCTCCTGTGTTTTGATTTTGAACACAAACCAAAAAAGGTCACAGGTGAGCTTAGTTAGCCGTGGGCTAAGAGTAACATTTGTTTTATTGGTAATGGCTCTAAAGCAGGAGATAACAAGTGATATTGAAATTTTCTATCAGCCCTTGATGTGCCATTAACCTGAGAGCCACCTCACTTCTTCCAAGAAAGAAATTTGAAAGCTAGTCTCTTTTGTGCCTCATGTAGATATATCATTGAGTATTAACACATAATTTCGGTTATTGCCTTTATCTGTATTTAGTAAAACCAAGTTGACTTTGTACATGTAAACATATTGATTAACACCACATCTTCGTACTAAAGTGATCTATGTCCACATGAGATACAGATGCAGAATTTAACTGCACAACAGCTGTTAGCAAAGACAACAGGCTCAGCAACGCTTATAATTGATTATTGTGTTTTACACTGGTAGCTGAGGCTAATGCCTGTTATTTTCTACTGGAAGGGTGTCATGTGATAGGAAGCTGAGGAGTCAGCAAAGGTTTCGTCATGAACAAAAACATCCAATCAGCAAAAGGTTGTGAGTGTCTACAGGATTGTTTCCAAAAAATCTCTATTTCTGCCCGTCTAGACTATATCACTGCCCCAGAGTTTTCAAACTAAAGCACAGTGTGCAGTGTATCCATAGTAGATTTGATGTGTTGTAAAAAATATGTGGATGCAGCCAAAGTAGTTAAAATGACTATTTTTTAAAATATTTTCTCTTTTAATTAATTATAAATCATAAACTTTTTTCTGACGAATCAGAATTTTATTGTTCCTGCAGTTGACAAATTAAGGAATGTAACTTGAGATTTAATTTCTAACTCCCATACATTCAGCCCACATTGAACCATGACTGCTCTATCTTCCTGCACTGAAATATTCGCACATAGATCCTCACCTCCTAAACAATCACCAGCTCCACTGACCCGCAAGGAGCACATCTATGTGTGTACAGTGGGTGGTTTTGTGTGTCTGTGTGTGTGCATGTGCATATCTTCAGCACAAAGATCCTCATTGTTTGAAGTTTTAGCTGGTGACGACAGCACAGCAGACAGTAGCGTGTAAGATCTTTGTATAGCTCTCATCCTCCTCCACCTCCTACTCCACTCACCCTCTACGCTTTTTTTCCCCACCGTGTGTGTTGAAACTCTCACACTATCCATTATTGAAGGCTGCGATCTGTTATTAGCCTGACCTTCTTCCACAAATGGAGACACACAGACAACAACTTGCACCACGAAAATAAGGCTTTATACCACGTCAAGGTAACAGCACAATATCAGTCACTGCAGGTGCTTTCACTAGTGATTAGACTACTCTGCTGCTGTGACACGAAAACATTACAACAGTGCCTGAGGGCGTTCATTCAGTAGGTATAATATAAAGTCCAAGTATGCAAACAGTTGTTGTGAAAAAGACAGGAAGGGTATTTGGAGACATTAACTGTGGTGACACCTGTTAAACATGCGTCAGAAAAGACCCATTTAAACAAGCATTTTACTGCAGACTGGCTGCAAATACCCTCTTAACACCTGGATATGCCTTTGGAAGGCTGTTTACCGGATGAGACATCATCAGTGCGTCTGACGACAAGCAGCATTAAGGGAAAACTCTGATGTGGATGGCTTTCAAATTGAGCATATGCTACTTTTAAGGACAAAAGCAACCCCATAAACAAACAAGCTCAAATAGACAAAGTAATGTCTTACCTTCAGTTGACCTTGGATACTTTTAATCCGACAAGGGATGTCTGCAAGGTCTTACACAGTGTCAGTTTTTTCCACATTAATATAAGATAAGATCCACCATTATCATTGTGTAACACCATGAGAACACGTGGACTTGGGTGCTCAGTATGCTTTCCACCTCACTAGCTGCATATTGCTAATTAGCACTGAAGCACTGACCCATTAATTCACCAGCGTCAACACCTGACAGGTAGCGTCACTTGATCAGCTAGAGAGAAACTTTAGTATCAGGCTTTATCATGTCGTCATAATTTCAATTACAGAGCAAGGACTTGAACAGAAGCACACATGTTGGTCTCTATTACCAGTGGGTGTGCCAGTAAGCCATGTCAATAAGCCAGTGTGCACAATGCCAAAGTCCTAAGACACTGGAACACAGAGGATGTCATTCATTTTTCAATCTGTCAAAAAGCACACTGTTTTAAAATCAAGAAAATTCTCTCTGTTATGCAGAGTTTGAGCTTAATAAACTAAGTAGGAGAATGAGGCTTACATTTAATACGTGAACGTTGTTACAACGAGACTAAAAATTAACAATATTTCAGAGTGATGAAGAACCAATTTTGCAATCCCAATGCCTTTATGTTTATTTGTGCAAAATGCCAGACTGCACTGCTCCCAAAGGCCCGTATGTATGTGTGATATAGCATTACCATTCCCTTCAGAGTTGATGAGTCACTAGCTAGCGAAGCAACAAATTACTCCTCTTTGGAAGTAGCTAAGGAACAACAGCACTAGACTTTTGTTGATATTCACAAGCTGAAGTCTCAAGCAACTCAACAAAATTAGCGAACAACTTGGAAACTGTAAAACACGACCGGTTGAATAATGAATGCTTATTTTGGATTATGTTCACAACACATGACAAAAAGACAAAGATAAAAGCTACTCTTGTTTGTTGATATTAACCAATGTGCTAGCATCACAAGCTTCTTCTATTATTTGGCTCATTATTGAGTCATGTTATACAAAACAGCAGGTACAATACTTTATTTTATTATTATTAAATAGTTGCTTTGTAACAAGCTTAACTTGCAACATCATTATTTTAATTGTGCATAATTTGTTGCTTCTGGGAGCAATTCAACAATTTGACACATCATGTCCTAGCAGGAAACACAGAGGAGCAATTAATTAGCTTCATTATGTCGGGTAATGCCGCTTTCACTGCCTGGTATTATATATGCTAGATCATGGGAAAAGAAAACTGGGAAATTGAATTGGAACTTAAACATCATTAATGCTGTTTATCACACTTGTTGTCTCCTTAGTCTCCTTAATATTGGGCAGTATTTTCCCACCAGATGGAAATGATGCTCACTACTTTGTGTCGAAATCAAAGAAATATTACAACCTTTTGTGTAGAGATTAATGTAGTTATTAGTCAATTCATTCTGTCTTGGTTTCCAGCTGGTATTGTATTGTTTGTTCTTAAATATTAGCTTCTCTTACCCTTTGCCATTTTCACAGGGCTTCAGTGGGCTAATATTAAACTGTGGCTCCACTGATTGAGGTTTAACTCAACCAATGAGATTAGTGCTGCCTCCTGAGCAGCTGCGACTCTGAGATAGTCTAAATTGGACATAGGGATAATTATAGCAGATCCTGTGGATTTGGCAATTTCACTGGCTGAAAGAAAACCATGGGGAATATTGTTCACTGCACATGCACATGCCTGCATATACAGAAAATGCACTGTACGCCCTATTACCGGTGATATGATTCTTCCCTTGGGATGCATCTGGCTCATGTGTCTCATGGTGATTGTCTGAGAAGAGAAAAAGGAGAGTGTGAACAAGGGATATGGGGGGAATTTGATGAGTGATCGTGACAAGGCTCGCTGTCATGCCAAGGGGACACGGATGACGCACATGTTGGACAATGGGAATAAAGAGAGAGAGACACTTTTTTGTTTTTTTATCCTGAGTCCTAATTTACATACCAATGTTGCCATGCGAAAACCCATTAATTCAAATTTGGATGCTTTTTTAATCATCACTAATTACATTACCATGTGCTCCGCATATTTGTCAACCCCCAGGCTGATGAAACCTACTAGGAATGCTATTGAACAATTTTAGTAGTCGTTCAAACATGGGTTTCATGCTGAACAGAGACACTTTGGAGATACAAGGTTTCCGCCATACAGTAATGACATTACATCATCGCCCCTAAGGTGGAGATCCTGCACAGCATCGTAAAAAAGATTGGCTCCACACAGCAGTATGTGTGACAGCAACTGTGAAAAATGGAGAGATGAGAGACTGGCATGCATAGACATTGTGTGTATGTCCACCCAAACCAGTAAGAACAGCAAATCAGTGGAAATAGCATGACATGAAAAAAACTACAATGATGTGAGAGGATTTCTGTAACTGAAAGATTTATCAAGACTCTTTGAAGCTGCATCCTCCTGCACACCAGGAACAAGACATTACCTTCGGAGGATCTCAAATTCCTCGTCACACTAAATAATGAATTAATAACACTGAATGAGACCGCTGAACAGTTAACCTCACCCCCACCCCTCCTCCTTGAAATCACTCTGCTGAAGGAGCCAATCAGAGCCCCACATTCTGTCTAGCACTGCCATAGGCCCCTCCCCTCCTATCTGTGATTATATAGTCTGACATCGGCATCACAACAGACACACACACACTCCGTGCTTCTGCTGCTGCATGCAGCTTGGGAGACGTTGCAGCTCTGACAGCATTCACCCATTCATGGACACTGAAAACACATGGTGAGTGCATCCTCTTTGCAGATAGTCTGTGTAATAAGGACATTTCAGTTTAGTCTTCTATTCTTCTTTAATCCTTTAGATTTTCCCTTTTTCTTTGTGAATGTTTGAGACTGTAGTCCAGCTTAACTGTTTGCAGGGTAGTTGTATTTTCTTCTACGTCTTGCCCTTTTGTTCTACTCTCTATTTACGGCTCTTCTCTGTCCTTTCCAATTGCAGGCACATGATGTTGAGAGTGCTGAGAGCAACAACAACAGCAGCAGCCACCTTGGCATTGACAATACCAGACACAGTTTAAGAGAAACCCCCTGTAGCGTCATAAGTGCCAGCAGCAATCATTGGGCGCAAGCTGGGAGGACCACTGCCGCTAGCCTTTCTTGCCTCGTTATCCGAAGACAGCAGCTTTGACATGGGTTGTTCTTCGGGCCGCCAGACCCCAGCCCCAGTCCTTCACCCGGACCTTGACTGCAGCAACAACAGCGAGGCTAACACTTTACCCCAAGACTCTGAGAACCAGAATGAGGGTTTGAACGGCCTTGGAGAAGGAGGAGACCTGGAAAGGAGCATTGGAAGAGACAAACCTCCAGAGACTCTCCCCACGCTGGAGCGACTTGCCCAGGCTACAGGCGGGACAGAGAAGTCCTGGTATCGCTGCGTGTTTCCGTTTGGCGTGATATCACTAGTGATTGGCATGGCAGGCACTGGGGTGACATTCACCTTTAACACACTGCTCCAGACCAAAGTGGTGTCGGTGGCACTGCTCTGTGCTGGTGTATTGATGCTGCTTGTGGCTGCAGTTTGCTGGAGGGCTCACAGACTGAGGAGGAAGAAAAAAAAGGAAAGCGGATTCTTCACTGCCGATCAGGGCACTTTCTGATGGACAATCAGATCCTCATTAGTCTGAGAAGAGGAATTCAAGTTGGACTTTTGCGAGGACAAACTGAATGAGTAGAATGAGATGTGAGGACATCTATACGTTTTCTCTCTGCACTAGGGTAGAAGAGTTGGATAATATTGAAAATGTTATTGTACCGGGGAAACTTTGTGAGAGTGAGTCATTATTCTGAAAATGCCACATTGGGAAGAGCATCATCCCCATCCTGAGCAGATAAAAATTGTTAACTATGCTTCAGTCTAAAAATACCCCTTTCCTCTTCTATTCATTCCTTTTATGGATTTACCTGGGGATCCAGTGGTGCACAGAGCCCTGAGCACATTGTAGATCACAGCTCCGCGGCTGAGCTCTTTAAGTAAGGAGAAATGTATAAGTGATGGGCATCTCAGGAATAGTAATTCAACACCTCCTGCGTCTCTGTCAACAGCCTGACATTGCACCTTGAACTTCAAGTCCTGGAAGTGGTGTGTCTGTGTGACACAGAAGGTGTTATGATCAGATCTGCCTGCCAAGAACATCTGCCTTTGCTTATTTTTTGAGTCCAGTGCAGTTGATTGATAGAGATAGTTTCAATAACTGAAAGAGAGGCTCACAGCAGCAAGTATAGAACCTGGCATTGCTTGTAGAAATGAATGAAACATATTTTGCCCTTTCTTACAAAACCACTGTTGAGGTTCCCTTTTGCACCACTTAGTCTCCAACTGTTCCTTATGTGAGAGATTGCATCTTAAATGGAAGCGGGCGAATTAAAATCACGCAAAAAGATTGAGCTTGCTCTGAAAGTTTTTCCAGGGTGACAGATTCTAAACACAGGCGCCCTCTTTTTCATATTCCTCTTGTTTCTGTCAACAGTCCAATTTAGCATTATCAGGCACAAAGGTCAACACTTTTCTCTCCTGCCACCAAGCTGTGCTGGATCAATAGAAATCAGTGCTCTGCAGAGTATTAAGCTTCAGAGGCAATGGGATACATTTTCAGTACCTGCAATGAAATTGCTTTTCCCTTGCACTTCTGGGCTTGAGATGACTTGAGCATAGTATGACAAGGAAATCCCCTTTGCAGACACACCATAGTGACACACAGAATAACAAAGACAAAGTGTTTAACAGCCTCATCCTTACCTACTTGATCTCTCTGATCCCTGCCTCCTGCTGAGGCAAAAAGAGGCAACACCATTGAGGTGAACAGTGTGTGTGTGTTTGTGGGTGGGGGTGGTGGGGGGTTGTTATACTGTTGTTTGTATAGATGACTGGATGTGAGTAATGGACATCAAAACAACTCTTCTCTGTGGGCCCAGGGGGCTTAACCAGATGTAACCTGTAATCCCTTTATAAATCAAGTTAGTCCTTCTCCCTCTTTTTTGAGGAGCTCAAATGTAGCAATGTTAGCCACATAATCTATATCGGTGTATGGTCCTTAGCAGCGGGTGATGTGCTTTTGAGGAAGACCCAGCAGCCTCATGATCTTGTATTTGACTGATATCCTATAACTTAAATGTTTACTGGGAATCACAAGTGGTCATTTTTGCAAGGTTACTGTGTAGTGCAGCAGCTCCAGAAGTATGATTATGTCTGTGCATCAAAGCTACACAATTTTTTATTTTAATGTGGTTTCCTACTCTCTTGTTTATCCAGTTTCACTGTTTGCTCATAAAACCCAAGCTGATGTGAGGTAATCTCTTTCAGTATTGATGCATTCATTTGTGTGCAGATTTATCCTGAAATACTGAGTATTCTTACAAATGACATATCATAAATACTATAAGTATTGTGTTTAACTACAAGTGTAGCCACATTTCTGAATGTACCTCTAACAGTGTGTCTTACAAACATCCTTGTACAGACTGTAAAGATTATTTGTGTATCTTCTATTTTGACAAAGCAGAGTACAGTATCAATTGAGGCAGTCGCCAACACTATAGTTTTTATTTCTGTTTCAATAGCTCTCTGGTTTTTATCAATGAAAGTGAGTTTTTATCGTAATTGTTTCATTCAAAAATGAGACAACTTTAATTAGAAG